TTGTTAAACGAATTCAATCAATGGCACCAGCTTGACCAAGAAGAACAATAACGTCGTCTATCATTTTATTTTTAGATCATATGTTATTAATTTTATGCTTTATTGTAGTCCATGTATGTTGATATACTTATTCCATGATAATTCTATGTTTATCCTTTTGTGTGATGTAAATTAAATGCTGAATGGCGGTTCATGCAGGGAAAGAACATATCAATATTCGCATATTCATTCAAAAACATGAAATTCTTAATGGAGTACCCTCATTTCTTATTGAATTCCTAAAAAAAAATATTTATAATGAATTTTAATAAATTTTTCGGATTTTTTTTAAGCTTTATTCTGACCGATTCACCCGATTCTCGATCCTGATCGCCGATTCGCCGATCAGGATCGGTTTTTTGGGAGCTCGATCCGAATCACCGATCTGTTTTTTAAATCATTGGTCACAATATAAACTATTTTTAAGGTTGGAGATCATTGTTTATTTTTATAACGATAATGGTCAAGGTCGAGATGATCGATTTTTCGACACCAGTACTTTTAGTAAGTTTGGAGGTACGCTTTTATTTTTTCTCTATATAGCCTTGGGCTTAGCGTTAACGAAATTACAGGGAGAACTACTTACCCAAAAAATATTATAGGGAGAATAATGTCAAATTTAATGCAAAAACATTGAGAAACGTAGATTTTTTTTTGAATTATAAAGTTTTGACAGAGGTTTATTCTGACTACTTATCTAATAAAACATACCTTTTTACCTCAGCTTAGAACTGGTTAAAGAAAATTCTTATACCATTTTAAATAATAAATGTAAAATTTAAAAAATCGAAGTAGGCCACTTTAGTTATTTCAAGAGACCCACCACTGTAATTTAATTCAGGCCACTACGTGGGCCCCAATTCCATTCCAACAAAAGCAAAGGGCATTTCCGGTATTACATTTTCAATTGGAATATTTTCGTCTGAATCAAAATCTCGCCGATTATCGCCGGCACGCAATTTAACGCCTGCCGGCCGTCAACCGGCATGATGACGTCATCAGAATTATCAAATAATGTCCCTCCACGTATCGCATCCATTCGTCCGTACCGCATTGCGATCAACAGTTACGATGACATTTCAGATCCATCTGACGGTTAGGAGCTTAGTTCTAGAGCCTTCGGCTAGAGAGGAAGAACCTGGGTTCATTTAACCCCGGTTAAATCCTCGGGTTAAAATCCCACCAGAGATGGTTAGCGACTTAACTCTCGCTTTTAGAACACAAGAGTGGTCGGATTTGTTATTCGCGAGGAAAGAGAGAGGGAGGGAGTACGAGGGTTTTGGCTTGCAATAGGGGGTTTTTTTCAGGGGAAACTGCGGGTTTCTGTTATTGGATGATCTGTGTTGTCCATCTCTCCCACACCTCGATCTGAGCCGTCCATCGTCGTGATACCAAGATCCGGCCATTGATTCCGCGATCTGAGGGTATTCGCGCGTGATGGACTGCTGATGTTGCTCGGCTGGGGTTTGAAGGAAGCGGCAATGGCTTCTTCTTTGATCTTGCACTGATCTGTGAAATTGTACTGGTTTATGATTCAGGTTCGTGTTTTTTTGGTAATATCTGGTTTATTATGTTTGTGAATATCTGTGGACACAGTGCCTTTGAAATCTTCAATGTTTTCGTAAATTCGATTTGATTGTATGAAATGTTTTGGATTTTGATTTCATTTAGCGATATCTTGTGTAGAAATATCAGTGTTTTTGTATCTCTTACATTGTTTTCAAAGTCTGAAATTTCCATCTTCTTGAATTTGATTTGAAAGTAAAGGATTTTGAAATTTCCTTTCTATTTAGTATTGAGTGTTAGGGTTCGCATGTTATGTCATTGATCTCAGTGGCATGAAATACACTTTTTGATTTTTATCAATAAAGTATAACTTTTTGAATATTGCCGTTCCTTTATAATGTTGTGGCCTTGAGGGAGAATGTCAATTTGTTTGTTTTGTTTGTTTTGTTTTTGTTTTTGTTTTTGTTTTTGTTTTTGTTTTTTTGTTTTTTCTTTTTTTAATGCATTGCCCTGGTTTAGATGGTAGGGACAATCACGGAGATTTCTCTGATTTTTGAAGTAGTAGAAAATTACTCGAGTTTGACAGGAAGTGCGTCTTTTATTGAAGGCGTTTCTGCTGATCATAGTTAGGCTACTGAAATGTTGAAGTACTCTTTAATTCAGAAAAATGGAAACTCTGTCCTCTAAAGATCCTACTTCCCTTATGGCAAATGAGTAGGAAAACATGAGATTAGGGGTTAACTTATGGAAATATCTGGAGGGTTTGGTTGTTTTTCTTGTCGCTGATATCTGGAAAGTATTATAAGAATACAATATTTTTCTTTCATTTTCGTAGATTTGGAAAGTTTTTGAAGACCTTTTAACTTGTATGTGGAGTCTAAGTCTCTGGTTTTGTGGGCATGTAGTCTGGCTTTACATTTTGCAGGAAAATGGCAGAAAGTTTAATTATTTTCAGAACTATATATATCATGCACACTCCGATCTTGACAAATGGTGGACTAGTGAGATGTATGCTTAATACTATGCATGTGTCGTATGAACGGTAGAATAATGTTCGACGCCACTATAAAAAAAAAAAAGGAAAAAAAAAAGAGATTATACTATATTGTTTAAGTTTATATTTAGAAAATTTTCGGAACCTTTCTTTATTTGTCAGGTAGTGCTGTAGGGTAAGGGTGTACTTGATTTTTGGAAAGGTAACAATGTTTTAGGAAAATATGGTTAGAAATTTCTTTTTTCATGTACTTGGATTTTGTCTAGTTCTTTTTGGGAACTTGTGTGTGAACTATTTGTTATATCTACAATAAGAAAAATAAATGCAATTATTTACTGAAAATGATAGTGCACCTGAAGAATGAAGTAGAGGGGGAAACAAATTCCTTTCTACTAATAATGTTACTTTTATGTCTTTTGATAATTAGCCGTTTTACTAGCAAATTTACCTTGCTGTAGAAGATTGTTTGTTCTTCTGAGAATGTGCATAAACTAATTGTTTTTACACTGTGGATCTCCTTTTTAATTAAAATTATTTTTTTCATTTATGGAATTCTTGGAAATTTTTTAAATCATCACTGAAAATCTAGTACATGGTTTCTGGTACTTCTCAATGATCCACTTATATGTCTACCCCTTCTAGATATTGTTTATTTTCAAATTACACGGGGTTGGTTTCATAATCTTTCCTTTTTTGCTGATGACATGGCAGTTTAAATTGTAGTAGGATTGGAATATTGGATACTATGTTGTAGTTTATCTTGGGATGAAATCTATTGTACTTTTTGCTCTTATAGCCTGCATTCTGGCGACTGTGTCTTTAAGGAAATATAATCTCATCTATTTTCTCTTGTTTTCTTTTGGTTCATCATTGAGAATTGTTGGGGCCTTGAATCTCATTGATTGTGTACTTGTATTCTGTCTGGATATACTAGTCTCGAAATTCTTCTCAAGGGAACATGATGATGATTATTCTGTAGTGTTATCAACATGTGGGAAAGAGCTGCACAATATTTTTTTTTTTTTTTTGGGGAAAAGTATATTATAATGTAATGGACTATGAAAAACCATCATTATTGGGTCATGAGCATCCATTTTAATGACTGATGGTGATGGAAAGAGAATGAGACCCATCATACAGGACATGAGCATTGGGTCCCATTCATTCTCCATTGCCATTCATTTCAAATCAATGGATGGCGAGAATCCAGTGTACTATGGTTTTTCCATGGTCCATTGGGTTTCATTATCTTTCCCAATTTTTTTGATCCAGATTTCTTTCTATCCACCTATTTCTATTTGTTAGTAATGATAAATGGGTTTCTTTTGGTTAATCTGTATTGATAAAGACAAGAATTTATCCTGTGGATGACTTTTGATGATATTCATCCTTTTCAGTGTTGGAGCTTGAACTTGGACTGCCTGAATAGTACTGCTAAACTATCTCCTCTCCTTCCCTTGTGAAGGAAGCCATGGCTTCCCCAATGTAGCCATCCAAAGTTCTTCAGCCCCTATTGTGATTGTTGAAAACAAACACCAGGAGCTCTGCATCAGTCATTTCACACCCTGTTTCTCTCCTTCATGTTCATCTCCACAACTCATCTTCCTCTCTTCGAAGCAGGGTCGTCGACCTCTCAGTTCGGCACCAGCTCAAGAGAGAGACGGTACACAACTGCTATCCTTTCTCTAGCACAGAAGCCCACAGCGCTGCATCTCCTCTTCCATGTCTCCTAATCTTGATAGCCCTGTGCAAACCCAAATGGCTGTTGCAGTGTTTAGCACCCCTCTCAGTAGAGAATACCATGGCAACCGTGCCTCCATGGAAGGGAAGCCAGCAGGGAGGAGGCGTGTTTTTGTACAAACCGACACAGGAAGTGTTTTGGGTATCGAATTAGACAGAGGAGACAATGCCCATACAGTGAAGAGGAAGATGCAGCTAGCCCTTAATGTTCCTACTGAGGAGAGCTCGCTCACATTTGGGGATCTTGTTTTGAAGAATGATCTCTCTGTAGTGAGAAAAGACTACCCATTAAGGCTGACAAGGAATGTTTTACACAGGAGCTCCTCGACCCCATGCCTTTCTCCCACTAGCAAGGACCTTCAGCAAAGAGACCAAAGTGGCCCAATCGAGATATTGGGTTGCTCAAGCCAATGCTCTAGGACCAAGCAGCTGGTTAAGGACGTGGTGAAGGCCATCAAGGGTGGTATAGATCCATTACCTGTTCATAGTGGGCTTGGTGGGGCTTACTATTTTCGAAACCTGAGAGGTGAGAGCATGGCGATAGTGAAGCCCAGTGACGAGGAGCCGTTTGCTCCCAATAACCCGAAAGGTTTTGTGGGTAAGGCTCTAGGGCAGCCGGGGTTGAAGCGTTCGGTTAGGGTTGGTGAAACTGGGTTTAGAGAGGTGGCTGCTTACCTTTTGGACTATGACCATTTTGCTAATGTGCCCCCAACTGTTCTTGTGAAGATTACCCACTCCGTCTTTCACGTGAATGAAGGGGTTAGCACTCACAAGCCCCTACAAGTTAGGAAATCTGTGAGCAAGATTGCATCTTTCCAACAATATATACCCCATGATTTTGATGCTAGTGACCATGGAACTTCGAGCTTCCCTGTTGCAGCTGTACATAGGATTGGGATATTAGATGTTAGGATTCTTAACACTGATAGGCATGCAGGGAACCTATTGGTTAGAAAGCTCGATAACAATACTTTTGGGAGGTTTGATAGAGTGGAGCTCATCCCTATAGACCATGGCCTTTGCTTGCCTGAAAGCTTAGAGGACCCGTATTTTGAGTGGCTTCATTGGCCCCAAGCTTCAATCCCCTTCTCTGATGATGAGCTCGAGTACATAGCAAACTTGGATCCCTTTAGGGATTCGGATATGCTTCGACTTGAGTTACCCATGATCAGAGAGGCTTGTCTTAGGGTTCTGGTTCTATGCACCTTGTTTCTCAAGGAAGCAGCAGCTTTTGGGCTTTGTTTGGCTGAGATTGGAGAGATGATGAGTAGAGAATTTACTGGGATGGAAGAGGAGCCAAGCGAGCTTGAGCTTGTGTGCATTGAGGCCAGGAGGCTCGTGGTGGAGGGTCAGGAAATACTTAATCATGGGGTGGATGCAAGCGAAGATGAAGAAGAAGAAGAGTACTCCCCTGTGCAGTTTCAGTTTGATATTGACTGCGAGGAGGATGGCTGCTTCAGTGCTTCGACCCCTCCCAAGCTGGAGGGCCTAACCATCAATGCCTCAAGTTATGGGCCTGTGTATCTCTCTAATGGTAACAAATCACCAAAATGTTTACCCATCTCTAATGGGAACAAGCCTTGGCTGAACCATGGGAATTTTAACTTGGGTTTACATTGCAAGCCACCATGTTCACCATCAAGCTTTGTTTCTCCAAGAGGTGGTCGTAACCCGCTGTCAAGGCTTGACGAGAGCATGAATGAGGAAGACAGTGAAGGCGAAGAGTATCAAGAGGAGAGAGAAATCAGGGTTCAACCAAATGAGAAAGGAAGTGGTTTCGAGTCCAAGCTCTCGGCTTCTTTGAGGAGCATGAGTTTTCATGATAAGAACCAGAGGCATGTTGGGCCAAAGGGTGAGGTTGGCGGAAACAGGAGAAGTGCGGAAGAGCAAGGTGCTGGACCGGCAGCTAGCTTTGTAAAGCTTTCAGACATGGATGAGGAAGAATGGGGGGCTTTCCTTCGCCATTTTCGAGAGCTCCTTCATGGTGTTTTCCCTGACCGAAAGGGTCGAACCTTGGGTCAGAGGCAGAGGCTCGGAACTTCTTGCCAGTTTTGAGAGAGACTGAAGCCAAATCTTAGTGAGAGTTTGTCACAGGTCTTTGGAGTTAGGTTGCTCGCTCAATGGGTGTATAGAAATAAGGTTGGTTGTGGCTTGAAGGGAGGCTTGTGTAACTTCGTAGTTGTTGATGTAGGTTTTAGGAGTGGCTTTTCCTCTCTCTACCTCAGGAATAGTGGTAGTGATGTTTGATGATGGGAGTCGATCGATGTTGGCATGTAAATATTTTTCAGACTGGGCCAACAAGTGGGCTTTCAGTATCAACTTTGAGATGCAGTGAGATAGGTATATTCTTGTGTTCTTTTGTAACTTCTGCCACTCGTTTATCTGTTTCCTAATTTTCTTTATTTTGGTTGTAGTAGTTGTGCTCTAGTCTGTTTTACTTACTTTTCAATCACATGATAGAGAGAAATATATACAGACAGATGACTGTGTTTGGGACTTTGAGTACTCTAATAAATGTCAAGGGTTTGTATTAATTGATTGGGAGTGGGGGGTTTTAGCACAATCCGATATGTTCTGAATATGGAACAACATTCGGGCCAATATTTCAGCTGAAATATTTGAAATTTTGTATGTGAACCAACGGGATCAGGCGTTGTCATGAGGCTCATGCACTTGGTTTCTCATGTTAAACCAAGTATCCTGAAAATAGCTAAAATGTAGATCATGGTTTTAATATGTTAGGATGTATCTTCTTTTTGTTATGTTTTAGTGCTAGTTTAAAAATAAACTCTAGATCTGTGCCCTGAGTTCGGTTTTGTCAAATTACTGTTTTGCAAAATGAGAGAGAGAGAGAGAGAGAGAGAGAGAGTCAGTCGTACTAAATATTCTTGGGTGTATCTAGCTTGGTTTTGTCTACCTGATTTAAAACTTTCCAAATATATTTGATGAAGGACACGGTTTTGGTGAGTCAGCCGACCTACCTATTCCTGTGGGGTCTCTTGTTTATCTAACGTCCATCTCTAAGATGGATGTTGCTAAAAGTTAAAATGAATGGTGATGGAAGGAATTCAAAAAAGAACATTTAGGCTTTGGAAATAAAAAACAAAACAGGTCTTGGTATGGAAATAAAATGGTGAAAAGTTGGGTGATTAATATCTGAGCAAACCAGGCACACTGGATTTCAGTAATCCAAGATATTAAAAATCCATGCTCCAAAATCTATGTGCCCAAATGGGCCCATATATTTTTTGAAAAAGACATTCCAAATGTAGATCATTGTCATGGTTAAGATCATTGAATTCTAAAATTTTGGATTGAAAGTATATCTTGATATATTTTGTACGGAATTGCACAAGAATAGTATGAATTGGCGAGTCACCAAACATTTTTCCTTTGAGAAATGTACCTCAATACTTGCACTATGAACTCCCGATACTGAAATGAAACATTATCAATACCTCAGTACTTGCACAATGAACTCCCGATACGGAAATGAAACATTATCAATAACGACATAGAGTAAATATTTAAGTAATATCAAAAGTCTATCAATAACTACATTAGTAAATATTTAAGTAATATCAAAAGTCCGCGAGTTTGCCCGATTCGACTTGCGCCGGTTCCAGTGAAATACTGGAAATCGTTCATGTCGTATCGTAAATTGCCGTCATGGCTCGCCAATTCGTCAATGGGTATTTTTGTAAATTTTTTAAAGGGTATTTTTATAAATTTTAAAAAGTACATAAATCCGTGACGTGACTCTCTTCATTTCGCACGCGTTATCCTCGTTGGTTACATTATTCACTACAACTTCTTTCTATTTCTTCGATGTGGGATAATGTGAAGGTATTAACTTGAAACATTAATATATTACATATTTTGTTTGCGTTTTTAATACCACTAAGTAACATGTAGCTTACTGGTTATCAAGTGCCTTCTGCATGTGAAGGGCATTGGTTCGAAGGCTCTTTTATCAATTGTTTTTCTTGTAAAATTTATTTTTTTGAGGTCAAATTTTTTTCTTATAAAAAAAATGAAAGGTTTTTTTATGAATTTCGCTTTTTGTCAAATTTTTTTCTTATCAAAAAAATAAAATGTTCTTTTATCAATTTCGCTTTGTTTCAAATTTTTTTCTTATCAACAAAATAAAAGGTTTCTTATAAAAATAAAATAAAAGGTTCTAATTAATTATTTTTCTTGTCAAATTTCTTTGTTTTGTCAAAAAAATAAAAGGTTTTTGTCAAAAAAATAAAAAAGTAATAAAAAGTTATTGTAAAAAAAAATAGTTCTTATAAAAAAATAATAACACAACAAGTATTTTTTGTCATAAGAAAAAAATGAAAGGTTTTTTTTTTATCAATTTCGCTTTTTGTCAAATTTTTTTCCTATAAAAAAAATGAAAGGTTTTTTTTTTTTATCAATTTTGCTTTTCGTTAAATTTTTTTCTTATCAATAAAATAAAAAGTTTCTTATAAAAAAAGAAGAAGAAGAAAGGTTCTTATCAATTATTTTCCTTTTCAATTTTTTTTGGTTAAAAAAATAAAAGGTTTTTGTCAAAAAAAATAAAAAGTAACAAAAAGTAATTGTTAGAAAAAAAAGTTCTTATATAAAAAAAATAATACAACAAGTATTTTTTGTCAAAAAAAAGGTTCTTGCTAAAAACACGTAACACGACAGACATTTATTGTAAAAAAATAAAAGGTTTTTGTCAAAAAAGCTAAAATGTTCTTATAAAAAAACCATTATTTATTGTAGTCCACGTATGATTATATACGTCATCCATGATAGTTACATGATTTTTATTTTCTGTGATGTAATTTCATGGTTAAAATAAATTCAAACAGAGAAAAATATCTTAATATTCACATATTGATGAAAAAAATAAAAATTAATAATGTAGTACCCCGATTTCTTTTTAGATTTCTTAAAAAACAACATTTATAATAAATTTTAATAATTTTTTCGATTTTGTTTACAGCTTAATCAGGCCGATTGCCGATCCAGATCGTCGATCTACTGATCTGGATGGGCTTTTAGGGTGTCTGATCCGGGCCACCGATTAGTTTTTTAAAATTTACTCATTATGTTTTATTTTTGGATTTTTAGACCAATCCCTTTACACATAAGAGCACCTGATTCGTGTATATCAAGTGGTGAAAGCGGTATTTGTAGCATAATCTAATATGTGGAATACTGCCCTGACCTTCTATGAAGGGGTGAAATATACTTTTGTAGTATCAAAGGAATTACATTTTCCGGCGAGGTGTGGCGATGTGATTTCAAAGTGCAGAAAAATCCTTTAAACATATTTTTTCAAGTGTGTGCGCTCTAGTAGTAGTAAGCTCATAAATTTTATTTAGGCGCCCATGAACACGTGACACTTATGCTAATATAGTGGACGATGATATTATATGATATGATGAGGTTTTGAAAGTGGGGTATAATTACACTTGGGTGGGCGAAGACAGTGTAAATGATGGGTTGGGTCATTTCAAAACATTAATACAATTTGGAAAGCAAGGGAAATTAGTTCTTTTGAACCGGGTACAAAAAAAGTCCTTATAGTCAGTCCCTAGTGGGGGTCTTAGAGAGATGTGACAAGGACCATGTCCCACCCATGAATGGACTTAAAAACGTGTGTTAAGTCTTATTGGATCCTAACGACCCATTAGTAGGACAGGATCCAAATGACCCATCAATGTGATGAGATTCATGAGATTTTTTAATTAAAAATTACGTAAAGGGAAAAAAAAATTATGTGGGGTTGCAACCTTATACTATACTAGTAAATTGCACCTAAAAAATGAAGAGAAATTTTTTTTTTTTCGATGTCATAAAAACAGTGCGTCTTGTAACACGAATTTTTTGAACGGTTTATTTTCAAGATTTTTAGATGTTTATATATCTGCTAGATCTGTACTTTTTTTTTTATAATTTCAAATTTCATAATTAGAATTGAACATAGATTTACAAGCCATCGTAAGGTTTCCAATGCCAGGAATACAACTACAAAATTCGAGGCGCACTTTACTTCCTAACCTTAAATTACATTAGAAAGATATTAGGTAAATCTTGAAAATTGCTTCATGTGGGTTGGACCGCATTTCTACAATATGCAGTCCAGAGTTATAAATAGGTGGTCTATCTAAAAACAAGTGTAACTAACAGTCCAAATGGTTTTTTAAAATAATTATTATTTCTAGCTTTCAATAATAATAATTATTATTTTTATACTCATGATTTCCATGTTAAAGATTATATATTCTTTAAAAATTACGATCAAATTATATTAGAAAAATATATTTATTGCCCAGCCCGCATTTCTACAATATGCGGGCTTGCTGCATAGAAACCGTGTCCAAAACTTAAACAACCTAAATTATATGGTACGTACGATGTAAATTTCTCTATCTTTATACAAGGGGGCAAAAAATCAGCATGGTTGTTCGATCTTAAATCGGGTGAAGTACTTAAATATGGGGATTCGGGTTAAAGAAGTTGTCCCACTCACAATTTATGAACATAAGTGCTTTAAAAGACCTAACAAAATTTATCAAAAGAAAAGGTGCAAGTGTTAAATTATGGGTCTCAATATTTTAGGGACGTTTCTTTAAAATCCCCCATTCATTATTAGAATAGAAAGCAAAGTATAAGAAGAACTTTGTAATCCCTTTATCTTTTGTAAAACTTTCATATGAAATCTGACTATACTTTGAGGGTTCAATTTGATTATTACTTTTAAAACTATAAATGATAATGTAGCAGGCCAAACTAATCTGAGGACTCTGAACTGAACCTAGTTGATTGGAAACCAACTTAACTTGTTGTCATGTATTTTTTATCTTGGTCATGATAAGTGGGAGTAAGATCCCTGCAACTCATTTGAGGAAGTCAAATAATTAGCTAAGGATTTAATACCTAAAAAATTAGCATTTATAATGGAGAACATTGGCCTGCTGCTTGGAAGCATTTGTTTCTTGGAAGTTCCAGAGATAAAAATTCATCAAATGTTGCAAAATCCATCAAAGTTTTTGATAGGGATTTCGAGCGGAGGAAATGGCACAACGTTGCGGTTCGCTATTGACACAGAGATTCCGACAAAACCTTCACATTCAGTGAACACACTTTATTTTGCTAGACATGGATTATTCTGGGTACAAGTAGAGTTATACTCGAGTTTGAACAAGAACAAATGGCTCCAGCAAAAAATTCCTTCACTGATAAATTTTGTTTCCGAATGTACCAAAGACAGCTATGAGAAATGGTGTATTCAAATGGGGCATTTTTTTTCCTTTCAGATAAAAAAGTGCCCCCCATTCATGTGGCAGCAGTAGTTTTAATCTTCCCGATCAATACCATGAAAAATAACTTTGCCATGTGCTTTGGCTCAACCCAAAATACTGTGCTCTCTCGATCCATCCATTCTTAAGCAAGAATTATTATCGTTTGAAACATAATCCTAGTGAATTTTTCAATGAATTTGTGACAAATTCAGCCAAAAGAAGACTAAGGAAAGTATGGGAAAAATGGAAAATATCTGATTAACCAAAATCCAGGTTAAACATTAGAAGTTCTCAAGAATCCTCCAAATTTACATAATTCATTGAAGTGATGCAAGACCATCACCACAAAATGCACAATTCCAACACTCTTACCAACTTTTTTCCAATTATTTGGGTCCGCAACCCTTTCACAACAGACAGAAAAAAAAAAAAAACTTACTTTCCGGGCACAAAGTTGGTGGCATAGGCCCAAGCATTGTTGTTCACTGGGTCTGCAAGGTGGTCAGCCAGGTTCTCCAATGGACCCTTTCCAGTGACAATGGCCTGAACAAAGAACCCGAACATCGAAAACATGGCGAGCCGGCCGTTCTTGATCTCCTTCACCTTCAACTCGGCAAAGGCCTCAGGGTCCTCGGCCAGGCCCAAGGGGTCAAAGCTGCCACCGGGGTAGAGTGGGTCGGTCACCTCACCCAAGGGACCGCCGGCCACACGGTAACCCTCGACCGCGCTCATGAGGATGACCTGAGTGGCCCAGATAGCCAAGATGCTCTGAGCATGCACCAGGTTCGGATTGCCCAAGTAGTCCAGTCCACCCTCGCTGAAGATTTGAGCACCGGCCTTAAACCACACCGCCTCACCGAACTTGACACCATTGCGAGAGAGTAGCTCTGGGAACACGCATCCCAAAGCGCCGAGCATGGCCCACCTGCAGTGGATGACCTCGAGCTCTCTGTTCTTGGCGAAGGTCTCGGGGTCGGCAGAGAGGCCGGCAGTGTCCCACCCGTAGTCACCAGGGAACTCGCCAGTGAGGTAGGACGGGGGCTCACCGGAGAACGGGCCGAGGTACTTGACTCTGTCAGGGCCGTACCACGGGCTTCCGGACACCGGGGCCCTGCTAGCAGACTTCCTCATGCTCACTCGACCATCACCACGGACAGTGCTCCCAAACTCCGACCGGGTCGCTACGGGCACGGCCTTGCCAGCAAACGAAGGGGATGAGAGGGACATCGTTGCCATGGCGTTGCCTGCGCAAAAGGATGTAGGGGGTGGGCAAAGTTAAAGTTGGGAAGTGAAGTGAAGAGAAGAGATGGTGTGTTGTGTGTGTTTATATAGGTGGTGGTGGAGGCCTCTCTTTATCTACTGAATATTTGAATCCTCGTTTTGATTGGCTACGTTGCTCGAGTGTGGCTCTCTATCCCCTTCTATCCACTGAAAATCTTCAAATCCATGATTTTTCATGGAGTGATGAGTTGTACAGTTCTTGAACACTTATAATTTTATTTTCTTCTTTCTCTCTTTTTATTTTATGTGGCTCAAACTCAAATTCATCTCTTTTTTTTTCCCTTTTATGGAAAATGGTTTGATAATTACAATTCATGCATTGGAAAACATTTACATCGATCATCTTGCCTTGAACATTATCATTGTAAAAAAAATTAAGATTTTAAGCTTTCAAAATAGTGTATATTATAATAAATTATCTAGATCTCTATTTCACCTAAAAATAAGTGTTCATAAATTAATATGATTTGCATTATATTTTGAGTTTCAAATTTTAAGCCTCACATAAACTCCATCTTTTTTTTTTTCTTTTTAGTAGGTCGATTGTGAAATTGATGTGGGGTGAGTGGTGCACGTATCAAGAGAAAAAGGTACAATGCAAGCTTCTAGCTCCGCCGTATCTTTTGAAGTCCACCGGTGTACCCATGGGCCCAAAACCTTTTTAACAAATAACATTAATGAAAATGAGTAGTTTATATACTGCTAGTAATAATGTTGTATGGAAAATGTTGAGATTAACCCACTAGCTTATATGAACATACAAGTTCAAGGATTCAGATTGAATCTGGGCCAATCTGACGGTCACGACCTCATTTCGTATTGAAATTTTAATTTATTTTTTACAAATCCAAATAACTTGAAATTTTAGCCGTGTGTTTTTAAAAAATGAGATAATATAATAAAAAATATCAAAAAATATATATTTCAAGACATAAATTGATCAAAATACCCCTGAAAAGTTTCAAGGGTATTTTGATAATTTAAATATTACAAATTATTTTTTAAATATTTTTAGTAGGTGCGTCTTGATGAGAAAAATGAACACCTAAAATTTCAAGTTATTTAAATTTGTATAAAAAATATTAAAATTAAAAAATAAGGCAGCGATCATCAGATCCGCCCATATTCAATTTGGACTGATGACTCATATGTTCATATGAGCTAGTAGGCTAATCTCAGCATTTTTCTATATTCGATTAATCACCGAAATATATTTATCATCAAAATATTTTAATAAAAAAGGTCTTTGAAAGATCGACCTTCATTTGCATGAGTATAGTATACTTACTGCATTATGGATAGAGAAGGGTGAGGCCATGAGGAAACTTATAATGATGTATGCTTTGAAACACATGATTGTATAAAATGAGACCATTTACCTTTGATATAAGGTAGCCACAATTACTTACAACCATCCGATTGTGAAATTTGATAGCATGGATGTGTAACAAAGTACGAGAAAATTTCTTTTGAAGTTTGAGTTTGATCAATGGAATAATTACAGCTACGCAACTTCACATCTAACGGTCAAGATTAATATGACTATCTTGTATCAAAGGTAAATTGTCTCATTCTATACTTTTCCTTGAAACACGCTCGATACGATCTAGTATGTTAATTTGTAAGATGAGTTGAATATTGCACGATGTCCACAAAGGAGGACTCATATGGACCTCCTCCAATTCAAGTGGCTAAAGATGGACATAAGTTGAGAAAGATTGAAATTAGCCGTCCGTGGTCACTAGCGGAGGGCTGATGATACAAGTATCCTGCTAAACATGAACCAAAATGTTTAATATGCAAATGTACCTACTAACTAGCATGGCACATGTACCTGTATATAGTGTGTATAGATGTATTTTGAATTGTATGTGCAACTCAATATAGCTAAAAGATTTTATGTTACTGCAGGAATATATTATTCATTTATTGCCAAAGGTAAAAACAGAACCTATGAGTACTTTTACGACCCTAAATTTTGGGTATGCAACATCTTCAGGAAATAAATCTTAATTTCACTCTCTATTTACTTCAAAAAATAATAATGTCTCAAGATTGAATAGAGACCCTCCAATTCTTGGAGGGAGAGATCCAAGTAAACTCGATGCGCTTTTCGGGCATCCTTTTTATCATTGTTGCAGGTGGTTTCATTCTCTTTCTTCCTCATTTTCTTTAACCTATAATATGCCCACTCATGGTCGATTGATCCAAGAACTAAAGTATTATTTGTAAACGTACACTGCCCAAAATATTTAAACTAAACGCCTTAGTATGCTAGAGCTAGACTAACCTTGTCCAAATACCCTAATCTGGTCGGGCCAGGCCCAGCCGATGGATGGATAATGGGGCGGAGTTCGGGTCTAATCAGGTAGGCCTCATTAGGCTAATATGTAGGGGTGGCAATGGACCTAGACCCGGATCCGACCTGGGACCTGCAAGATATACCCGACACGGGTTGGGTATGGGTCTAGCATTTGGACCCGGCAGGTCGGGTGCAGGTCCAACCCTATACCCGTAAACTGTGTTAGAGATAAAATACTTTACTTTAGGCCCAATTCATTTGGATGTATTAAAGATCATATATAATTAGAACTAATAGTCATATTTAGCTATTAAACGACAAATCACACGGTTTGAAATCTAATAGTGGGTGATTGTGATCTTTTTGCCAATAATATGGGTATATGATGGTAAAAAAAAGGGGCAAAAAAAAAGAAAAAAAAAAGAAAAAAAGAAGCTCATAGTGAGGGTGACAATGGACCCGAAACCTGACGGGGTAGACCCGAGACCCAATGGGTGCGAGTATTGGTCCAATTTTTGGACCCAACGGATCGGGTCTTGGTCCAAAACTTGGACCCAAATCCATTTGAGTCTGGGTCTGGGTCCAGCCGGACATGACCCATATCCGACCCGTTGCCACTCCTATTAACATGATTATCCTTTATTTTTTTGGGGTCTACTATCTATCAGAGAAAAATTAAGTGTGATTTTTCAATTCTTTATGCCTCTTTTTCTCTGGCCTTTTTCCTCAAAATTTTGCTCCTATCTGTGTCTTAACTTACATATATTGCTTGCTTCTAAATATGCCTTAAAATATATTAAGATAAAGCTTACAGAAAGTCATATCTATTTGCCTTTAAAAATCTCTTATTTTTTTGATGAGAACTTATTTTTTTAGAAATTAATGCAAACTATGGAGAATAAATATGATATCATAAATAAAATGAAGTTTAAAACCGAGTACGAAAATAAAGTTTTTTTTCTTTGGCTTTTTAAAAATAGGCCAGAGAGAAGAAATAGGAGTGCCCAAATAAAATGGGATATTGAAAACGATTCGAAGTAAAATACTTTTTTTCCAAAAATACAAGCTAGAGTGAAGAAATAGGAGTACCTAAACAGTATGAACACCTAATAAAATTGTGGATGTAACAAAGGAATCCTAGTAAAATAGGAATTTCCGTTAAACAAAATAGGTACCTTTTCGATGTGAAATTTGTTTCTATGTTAGAAAGGAGATGAAAATATAAAAGTAATATCAGAAATGCAAATTAATATGAATAAATTAAATAAAATTTATTTAAGAAATTTTAAAATGTGAAATTGATGATCCATGAGTTAAAAATCAAATCAAACTATAGACATAAATTGATCTTCATTCATATAAAATGTGAAATTGACGATGCATGACTTAAAAATCAAATCAAACTATAAACATAAATTGATCTTCATTCATATAAAAATGTGAAATTGATGATGCCTAGGAAAAATTATTGGTGCTTGAGCTCCAAATATGGTTATGCACTTGAATACCACTTCGGATATTATACACATGATATGATTGCTATCCAATACAGGTTGGGACATCTTCACTCCGTTCTCAAGATTGACGGTGGCGATAAAGCAAGGCCTGTAACCTACAATGTCTATTGCATCCGCACTAGTGTTTAAAAAAACGGATCGGTGACTAGAATCTGTCATACTCGTATCAGATCGAGGGGATTGATGGATTGGATTGGATCGTATCGGAAGAATCGGCATAATTGGTAATTTTGTCCCAATTTTTTTAAAAAAATAATTCAAGAAAAAATTATTCATCCTTTTTTTTTTTTTTTCTTTTCGCTTGAATCGGTGAAGAATTGGTTGGAATTGGTGAAGAATGGGTCGAAATCGGCGGTTCAGCAAAAAAATCAGAGAGTCTGTTCTTATGAATCGACCGAATCCCGATTTTTTACCTGATCCAGGACAGTTGTGGTGATTCCCAATCTGGATAGCTTGATTTCGGATTGGGTCACCGATTTTTAAATCATTGATCCGCACCGAATGTCTTGAGAATGGATGGCAGATGTCCATGTTGTGTAACGGATAGAATGCTCATCATACGAAATCCCTAGTTTCCTATGCAATTCTTTCGTAATTCAAAGGGCAACTTATTGGGTATAGGTTTTTCATATGTGTGAGCATATATGCTAGGGCACGTTTACCGTGTTGAAAGTTATCTTTTAGGGGGGACTACCTAAGGTTCTGATATGGTTTAAGACTATTGAGGATCCTAAACTCTCTTTTAACCAGTCTCAAGTCTTGATAAAGAAAATAAGTTGTATTAGGTAGGCAGTTAATATAAAACTTTATCATACGTATCTATAAATCCTGAATAGGCATTTATGACTTAAGGTTCTGCCCATTTCAAAATCGGGCTCGAGTTTAGTTGGTTGCTTGTTGATGATTGCAATACTATGTCCCAAATTTAATTCCTAGCCTCGGAGGTCCAGGCCAATCTTTCAAGAAAATGCAAGGTCAATGCCGATAAATTGAAATTTATGATGACGAAGTATTCATTAGGCATCATGAATTCGTTGGAAGTTTGTGAAGTTAAGGGACCCAGACCTAGGTTTTGTTTTGTTAAAAGTAGCTCCTCTTGTTATACTTGTGGATTACTTTAATAATTTGTAGTATAGTTATGAGCATTGTATTTTTTTTTACTGGTCTAGTTTAAAGTAAAATTTCAATTAGTTGGACACCAATTATAACAAATGTTTAATTAGTTTTAACCCATCGAGTCATCGGCACTTCGATTGACAAACAAATTAAGTAAATTTTTATAATATATTTTATATTTTTAAACTATTATTTTTAATTATTATTTTTTAATCTCCATTCTAACCAATTCGACCAGTGGTCTAACAAGTATTGAATGGCGCCGCCCTTAAAGTTGTTTATACCGAGTTTTTGGTATAAACGCCCTCGTCCATTAATTAAAAAACAAGCAAAAAGCAAGGTGCTCACAATAATAGCATGCTTCAATATCGCAACGTCTTTTGTTTATCGCAACCTCTTTTGTCAATCATTTTGCCATTTTAAAAACTATTGGTCTAAATTAAAAAAAAAAAAAACTCCTCTTGTCCTATCAAGGAAAATAAAGATCATGGTTCTTCACTTTTTCTTTCTGAAAATCTTAGGTTCTTCAGTAATGGGCCTTTAGCTTGGATGGTCAGGTGGTAGAACCATAATGTCAAAAGTTTAATTCCTACCTTATTAAAGCGTTAAAAAGCAAAAAAGAATCGTAATATGTTTAATTAAAGAGGTTCCTTATGTTAAATGAGTGTCACACATTTTCCGACCTAGGACTTGCCGGATTTAGACCTCATTGAAATCACCCAAGTCTCCTAATTCTTAAAAATCTTTTTTCAATTGAAATTTCTGATTCGACTTGGCCGTCAACCAAATCGGACCTCAGATTGTCAGCTGCCCGAGTTGGCATGGTGTTTCTAAAACACTGTTTCACTGTATGGGTTTTTTCTAGCTGAAATTTTATTTGAAGGCATAAGCTCAACGGTCAACTGTGTATCAGAAACATCTTCATGTTTATTGATTCAATCACAAATCTTCCAGATTATTATTAAAACTTTTTGTTGAATGTTAACTTGTATATATTGTTAGTGCAACTCGAATTGAACTAAATTATTGAGGCTAGTCCCCTCTGTTTTTTATCCTTCTAATTACGGGCCAAGATTACATAATTTCTTGTTCTTTGTCATTATTTATTAATTGTAAAATACAATTTAAGTGAATTATTCTTTTGGATATGCATTCAATTCCATGTTTGAAATTAATAAAGTAGAATGGTGGATCAAGATTCGTGTAGCTAACCCTAGTTAGTTGAGAAAAGATTTTAATGATGATGACGACAAAATTATTATATTTAAATTCTGTGTGCACTTTTTTCTTGCATTATATTTGCAATAGCTTGTTATACTTAAATGAACTATATAGGCTCAAAATTATCCAAGAATTATATTATCTTTATCCCACAAATTCTTTTTGAGTAATGATCATATGGGACCCTCTCACACCCAAGTGGGTAGGACCCTATGAGACCCTCCCACACCCATGTGTATAGGACCCCAACAGATCACACTAGAAAAGTTATTATATGGGAGTAGGAATTGATTTTTTTAGAGATCTGTGCCAAATTTAATGGTGATCATTTGAGATTCTACATACATAAGTGTGGGAGGGTCTTTTATGATCATTACTCATTCCTTTTTATAGATATTAATGAATGACCTCTTCTTTGTTTTACATGTTTTTTGTGCAATGCATGTGCTCGGCTACTTGCAACACAAGAATGTCAATGTCTTAGAAAGAGAAAACAATTGGAGAATCAAATTAGCATCGATATTGGATCATCCAAAAACTATTGCAAAATTATGCTTATTATAAACGACCAATAATTACTTTATTTTGAAGTTTAAACAAACAAATGCAAGATACATTTATTTGCAAAACTCAAACTTTGTTCAGGGAATGCTGGTGGTTGCCAGCCGAAAAAGAGAGAGGAAAAATGTAAAATTTGTGTGCGAGAGAGAGGACAAATGTAAAACGTGTGAGATAGGAAAAATGTAAAGCTAGAGAGAGAAAGATGAAATGTAAAATTTGTGTGTGAGAGAGAAGACATGTAAAATCGGTGAGAGAAGGAAAAAATGTGAAATGTGTGTGTGAGAGGAAAAATGTAAAGCCTGAGAGAGAGAATATGTAGATCTCTTAGGGTGTGTTTGATTTCTAGAAAGTTTAATTTTGTAAGCCGTATTTTTTAATACTTTAGCAGTTCTTCGTTTGATAACGGGGGAGTTTTACAATAAAATGATACGCTGGTATTCACTTGCCTTACATTTAAGGTAAAAAAGTGGATACCATTAGTTCCATGAAGAACTTTGAACTTGAGGCACCCATTTTCTTTGAAGATGAAGTTTCCAACTTGCACCTTCCCAACATGCCTTTAAGGAGAGATATTGATAGCCACATTGCCAAAAAGAGAATACCCATCTATCTTTGAAAACTTAAACTAGTGTTACATTGGTTAGACACACTCTCTCACTCTCTCTCTCTCTATATATATAAATAAATAAAAAATTAACAATAGCTGGGTAGCTATAATGAATAGTAATATAGATAGAATCCCAACCGTAAGATCTTTATCATGTAGTTCAGAATGCATATTACTCTATGTATTTTAATATTTTTTTAGAAATCGAATCATAATGAAATTGTAAATATGTGTGTTAAAATTAAAAAAATATAAAAAATATTATTCAAAATATAAAATGACCTAAATACCCCTAAAATATGTTAGGGGTAATTTTAAAATATTAAAAATATTTTTTTTATATTTTTATATGGTACGAAGTAGTGTTAAGTATATATACTCAACATTCATTTTAAACAAAATTATAAAAAAAAATTAAAATTCATATAATGATATGCATCTTGAACCACATGAGGATGATCTGATGGTTGAAATTCCACTTATATTACTATTTATTATAAATATCGAAGGTTTACTTTCTATATATATAAATTTTCCTTAAAAAGCGCCCCACTTTGGAATTTGGGTGGACGTGTGTACCTATTCGACATGTAGGTTTTTTTGTTTTTGTTTTTGGAACAGACTTGGAGGTCTTCTTGTATTCACAATCTCATTATCTCTCTAAGGTCTTCTTACAATTTATTTTCCTTTGACAAAGTGATCTTTCTCTCTCTCTATAATTTTCCTAGCAATTTATTTTTCTTTAAAAAAGTGCTCTCTTTCTCTCTATACCTAAACTCTCACATGGTGGGCTTCCTCTCACCAACTTTGATGCTCCTTTTAAATTAATTTCTTGCTCCTCTACTTGCCCGCAATCATCTCCTATTCTCTCACCACCCACATGCAACCCCACTCTAACAATTCCAATTCGCCATAAAGATATCACCCCAATAAACCTTTTCTTTGTTCTTCTATGCTTCTCTTTTCACATCTAATTTATAGGCTCTAGGCCCTCATTCCCATGTTCCCATAAAAGTCCTTCATCAACTTTATTAATTACCAAAGCATCTTACAATTTTTGGCAATCTAATGAGAAGGCTCACTAATTTTTTTCATTATCATTGTCCAAGTTTTGTTACAGCTATTTGAAGTTGGTTAAGAAAATTATGATTAGAAGGGTCCTATGTCTAATGAATAACGAGAGAAAAACAATAAAAATAAAAAAAATATAATTTATACAGTTTCTCACATATAGTTGTGCCAAAAGGTACAAAAGGACTCTCTCTTTCAGAATTCTCTCCTAAGATGAAAATACTTTAAGGCTTGAATATACATTCTCAAACGTATCCATGTGCCTAATTGTCGTACAAGTCTCCAAATTTTTTTGGGTTTGGGCCCTTTCCACTATCCCTCCATTAGGTGGGTCATTGGGGCACTCAGTCCCTAGCCAGGGGCCCTTGACTACGGACATCAATTAAGGTCAGAATAGGAGGGCAAATATTTTTTTTCGGAAGGAGTTAGTGGGGAGAGGGCCCTTACTTATTGTAGGAATTTAACTTAGGGCATAGCGTTGCAAATCATCAAACACTAACCAAGTAAGCCAAGTCTTTTCCTAAGAGGGCTAATATCAACATAGGATAAACATCAAGTTACTAATAGAAATCTTGACATAGAAATCTTGACATAGCTACATGCAACATGATTTCTTATGGCATACATTGGGAATGTATAACATGATCTTGATGACCATACAAACTTGTAAATGTTATATCCATATGAAGAGGAAGGGGATTGCACCACATAGAGTCCTTTCATGCTCTATTGTGTCCCAATCTCTCTATCACCAGCCATCAATTAATCAGACATAATAACAATTTTGACTAATTTTTCTACAATTGCACATATTAAGTATACTTTCCATGCAAAAATCCTCACTAGATTTTATATATCAATGCTATCTTGGATAATATTTGGATGATTATAAGTCATATTGAACTGTGCCAATTTTTAGAAGAAATTTAACCTT